TGGCTTGCTAGTGGCTTGCTTCGGCGGTGCAAGATCATTCAACTTACTTTTGGGACAGACCTTGTATTCATGTTTTGTGTGAGACATTTTTTGTTCGATGCGTATTTTTGGAGTTATTTTGATTTGCCATATAATACCTTTGATTGACCTATATAATATGTGTGACAAATATAGTAAATAAAATATACAGGATGCCAATGGAGGAAACGTCGAAACTTCGAAAATAAGTTGTTAAGACAATTTTAAGTATATTATGCTTTCTAAACTACTTGGATATTTCGAATGCATGAGTGGCAATTAGCACTAAACAGTCGGTTTGAAAAAATACTTTCTATGCAAAAATGTGCATAGTAGAAGAATATAAACACCCTTGAAACATGCATTTTCTATTCCTTAGAAAAGAAATGATCATATTTGCTAAAAAAACTAAAAAAAGTCGAATATTGTAAATTGGGTGCTCAGTGTTAATTTTTCCTGAACAAATATATTTATTTCTTTTGTAAATAAAAAAAACAAATTACATGTTTCTGGAGTGTTTATATGCTTGTGTAGTGCAAATTTTTACCTAGTAAGCATTGGGCTTAATGCGGCTCAGCCATTCGGAATATCCAAGTCATTTATTAGACAAAATGTACTTAAATTGTGTTAAGAGTTCATTTTCGAAGTTTCGACGTTTCCTCCCCGGATATCCAATATAGACACGTTGCAAGATTTTGCTTACTGCAATAACTCGAATACAAAACGTTTTATAGCCTTAAAACAAATTTCGTTTCCCGCAGATTCACGAATTTTGTTTTTTTATCCCCTAATCTCCAAAACGCAATTTTTTAGACGTTTTATTCCAAGCTTAGCTTTTCAAAACAATATCACTATATATTTGCATTTGTGTATGCGAAAACCATATTATTAATAGTGCATGTGTACTTCTGGAGGACTTTTCTCTTTTGGCGGCTGAGATTACGACACCAATTGACGTTGCATTTCGCACCCTTATGGGAGCGGGAGAGTGCAAACCATCCCCTTGTTGGCGTGTCGCTAATATTAATTCAACATAATGTGCTCAAATAGAACAAAAATCCACTATTTTGTTAAAAATGATTCTGATCAAAATACTTTATTTAAAACTTTAAATTATCATTTAAGAATTTAATATAGGTAAAAATATATAGTATTCATGAGATTAGCTAGTTAGAGTTAGCTATATTACATTTTTTTCACATTTCACCTATTTCATCTTTGTGGAAAATTATAAGAATATTATCATTTTGATTACTGTGTAATAATGTAGTATTTTTAGGAATTTTGCGAATAGTTTGGCCAAAATTAGAAGAATACTTCTGGGTCTGTATGTGGAAGAATAATGGGGGAGTTTTGTCATGATTTCGAAAACAAGAATTTGTGCTAATTTCTATTGTGCAGGATAGTTTCCTGTGCGAAGAACTTTGTTGAATAGTGCAGTAATTATTGACCCGACATTTCTCGATAATTCTATGATAATAGAATTGTGATTATGTCATAGCCAGAAGATTACTTGCTTTAATTAATGGTTTTTAAGATTTCTTTGGCGTTGGGCAAGTGTCATATGCTTTGAAAAATCTTGGCAGTTCATCATTTGATTATCTTGATTAGTATTTCTAGAAAGGTGGTATCAAAGACGGCAAAACGTTTGACGAAGGATGGGCTTTTTCTATGAAAATTCTCGCCCAGCTCATTTTCATATCTGATTGGGGAATTGTTTTGGATGGATGTTAAAGTTTCATGTAGTCTTTTAATTGTCAGTAGTTATTATCTTTTGTTCGATGTTAAATCTAGGGTAAATGTTTTGGAGACACGTCGTAGTTTTCTGGTATTCGTGATGTAGTAGGTGCGATGTACTGGACATCAGATTTGCTGGGAGTTTCTTAGTTTTCTTTACTCGGATATTTTCACGCTAATACGGAATATTTCACGCGACGTTTGTTGTAATACTTTTCGTTTTCTCTCTACTCTCACCTCGTCGCGTTTCCTTCTCCCCTCTGTTGTTCACTTCTCATCTTCCCTATTTTATTTTGTCTGCTTTGCCATCGCCCCTCCCCCTACCCTCGTCGCTTTTCATCTCCCATCTCCTCGTCCCTTTACCTTCTCATGTCTCCTCTTTCTGTTCGTCACTTTTCCATCTCCCCTCTTATTTCTTCTCATCGCTTTTCCATCCTCCCTTTTCTCACTTCTCTTCGCTTTTCTATTCTGTTGCGATTCACTAAAATTTAGTTGTAGGTGCTAATTTCGTTGCTTAGAACTTGCCTACGATCCAGTGAGCAAATGATGAGAGAGCCCTGTGGTACTTTTAGAATTAACTATAACTTTTCTGTCCAAACCATCTCGCGAAGCGTGCATTGCGTAGCAACGTAAGAAATCGAAGATTACGAAATTTCTTATGCCGAACTCCCACAGTGTGCGGATACTGCAGGAAGCGAACATGTGACTGAAAATGACGTAACAAATCACTCTCGTCTGTGTTACGCGTTCAAATGAGAACGAGAACTTGTTAACAAAAATCTTAATTTTATTCAAATTATATCTTTGTTTGGAACAAAACCATGTGAACATGTGTACAGCAGCTGCTTATTAGATTGTAAGAAGGGAAACACGACAGCCCCAAATCCCTCGGCATTTATCCAGTGTGGCCACTTTCTGAAATTCCGGGAGTTGTTATTTGTTAAACAATCATTGTTAATTTTGGCGTTTTTTTAGTGGAGTGGAGTGGTAGTAAATCTTTTGAATAGTAGTGTGTGTGAGTATCTCACAATTCAAGAGAAGAATCTGAAATGTTAGGGAAATGTGTTGAGTGTGTTAATAATGTTGTTAGTCTGTGTCACGTTCACCCTGCTTCCACGCGAAGCAGCGCCATTCTTTCGGATTGTGCGGAGAGGTTTGGCGCGTTGCAGAATCGCCGGCTGGGCAACTGCCAGGCCTCGCCCGTGCCACCGACTTCTCTATCGACTGCAGCATCGACTGGTCCATCGACTGCTCGATCTGCTGAATCTGCGACGGAGATTCCCCAACCCTACGCTGCCCCCATCGCCACCGCCACCGCCACCGCCACCACCAGCACCAGCACCAGCAGCGGCCTCCAGGCGCCAGAGGGTAGCACATTGCCGAGCAGTGTCCTTCGGTCTCCAGTTACGCCAACGGAGCTCCCACAAGCAGGTATCTATTCTTTAGATCCAAAAGACTGACACATTTCAATTTAAAGGCAATCAATTAAGATAAAAAATATTTACATAGAAGTCAATATTTTCATAACTTTTTAACGTTCGGAGATTAATTAGATATTTTAACTCCAAAAATTAGTGAATGTACTTACGTGTCTGGCATGTCTTTACAAAATATTCACTGATGAAAATTGAACGTGATGCATTACGTTTTTAACTTAGTGGATAGAAAGATTTCCTACTAGGATCCACAACTGGAACTACATGAAACAATAATTGTGAGATTTTCTGTTTCACCTTTTTCACGGATCTTTCTTTTGTGCGATGTAATCACATGGATTCCGCTAGTGAACGTTTCGTTTTGTAGCTTTTTTTACTTTCTCGAATACGTAGAACATATACGGTGTAATATAATATTTTAGAGAAATTTATATTACTCTGGCGGAACAGAATAGAGAAAAACTCGTTTTGTGACTCTCTGATAACGTAAAAGATGAGTTTTGTCTCTCCAATGTTATGTAAATTACTTTTCTTAATACTTAGTGTATTCAGAATCCACATTTTGAGGTTTACTAATACCGTAAAAGGTGTTTTTTTCAATTCATCCGTCTGTCTGTCTATGAACGTCACTAGTTCTTATCAATTCGTATGATTTTTTCCAAAATGAATATTCTTGGCCCCATATCTGGCCTGACTCGAATCTCTGCAATTTTGAAAAAATCTTTAAATTTTGGAATGCTACATTACAAATTACACAAATAATTTTTCAAAAATTGCTTCCTAGTTCTTTGTCCTTTTTGTACAAATAATACACAATGCATTAAAAAACACGACGTAAAAGCAATTTTTGGTGTATTATTTTGATTTTAAAAATTACACAAAAACCGGGTAATTCTTAACTAGTTACCTCAAAGTAACATTAAATAACAGTAGATTTATTTCATTTTAATTAATTTATTCTTAGTTCACAAATTGAGAGATTATCAAATGTCCTCCTACAAATGTTCAACGTGCCTTCTGTTTGTAACATGGCAGATATCTGTACGAAATTTCTTCCCGACTGCCCTTCAGCCAGCGCACCATTAATACTTTGGAGACTCATGGATAGTTGAAGGAAATGGAGGGTTATACACCTTGTCCTTCTCAAATATCCAGAGATAAACATTGAAGGATGTTAGATCAGGATGTTGCGGCGGCCAAGCTATGGCCCCTCCTCGTTCAATCCAAACAGCGACAGTTCAAGATAGATACGCTGTGATCTCTTTGGTAATGTGGAGGGGGTCCGTTATTTGGAAAAATGATTTCACCCATGACCTCTTGAAGTTGTGACTTCAGGTAGTTTCACAACATATCTCGATATTTAATTTCCGTTAAAGTCTGCTCATTAAAAATGATTTATAAACTTAATCAGAACTCAATGCACAAACATTTAATTTTGATGAATCGCGTGTATGATCCAATATCTCCTTCGGTTTGTGGCAATTAATTTGCAATATACTATTTGACGGTTTCGGTGCTGACATAGCTGTTCCAGCTTGACACGCCTGCTTCAAGGGGGTCCCATTTTATGCAATCGACTGTGTAAACGGAATCTTCGTATCGTGCATGGTTGAGGAGATACAATGGGTGTTATCATTTAGTTGTTCCAGCCTGTGTATCCTGTTGCCTTTGCAGCCATGGCGGTGGAGTCGGTTCTGAAAAGCGAGGGGCCGACGGAAGCTACGTTCTCCGGAGCAGACTTCGCCTTCGCCACCGCCCCC